TTCCAGGTTTGGGGGCCTGGTGGAGCAGCTACCAGGGGAGAGGAAGAAATGCACAGTCTACACATCAGGGGGCTCCAAGAGGTGGGGGCTGAGGCTGACCTGAGCCTAGGACTTTCCCAGTTTTCACACGGAAAGTCGCACAACCGGGAACACCAGACATGGTCACCCCAGCTTGGAATTAACTGTTGTTACAGGCCAAGCCCTCCAGGGCTGTGTCTGCCGCCAGCCTCTTTATCTATTCTCCAATCCCTCTAATCACACTCAGGGAGGCTGGGCAGCCCCAGGGCTGGGTGGGTCCCTTGCTCCTTTCTCTTTTATCATCAAAAGAAGACAGACTGGAGGTGGCAGTGGCTCAGTCTACTCAGCAGCCTCTCCCTGCCTTCTAGGACAAAAAGCTTCCGGTCAGCCATCAGACCTCCTTTAACCTTCCTCCTAGGGCTTTCTCCAAGGCCATCCCCAAAGGTCATCTGAACCACAGGTTCCCAACATCTCTTGGACCTCACTGACTTGAAGAATCTGACTGAGGCTGGGGGCCTTCTTATCAGAGAAACACACACACGCACCCAACATCCTGTGTACAGTTTCTAGGGGATCCTGGGCCCTGGAAGCCTCTGCCAAGGCCTCTCCAGACACCACTATATTGTGTCCGCAGACTGCTGGGATGACCTGACGTTTCTATCCATCCAACACTGCTCAAATGTTTCTACAAAATAAAAAGACATGTGTATGTGTGTGTGTGGTGGGGGAGGGTAAAGGTGGAGCTAGGTAGGGGAGCTGGGGTTCAGGGAGAAACAGTACCCCAGGTGGGAGGGCAAAATGTCTGTGAAGCCTCATACTTTTCCTTAAACATCAAGAGTGTACTTTCCATTCTGCACCAAAATGTATCCATGTTTGTTTTAGTAGAAATATATTTCCTTTCCCTTCCCACAAGGTAGCTTCAGAGCAAGATGGACCCTTCCAGAAGAAGAGCCATGTTTCCCCAATGCTTTCAGGTACTCCCCTGTAGGCCATCTTAGAGCTACAAACCAGGGAGGCCAAAGCAAAATGGGTGTGAAACCACAGAGGCAGCTCGGGGACCCCAGCCAGTCCGCACGTGCCTGCAAAGCCATAGGGATGTCTGACAAATACTCCAAGTCACGCCCCTAATGGAGCTGGGTTGGGGAACAGAAAAGCCTGGAATAACCAAAATATCATGACGTCGGGACAGGCCTGTTTAACACAGGAAAAAAGCAATTAGCTATAGTTCTTGCCTAAAATACACAGAACCTCCACATGGCTAAATTAAGAATTAAAGTTGAAGATTACCTTTCATAATGTTTGTCGCCTTCAGCTGGAAATAGGTACTAACGATATAAACTCCTTAGGTGCAGGAAAATGGTCAAATGCAAAGGTTCGCACATAGTAGGTGTGCAAAACAAATTTCGTGGAAGGGAATCAATGAGATTGTCTTACTAAGTTTTTCCTTTAAACTTTCTGCACTGAGGTCTACGGCCACGGCACCCTAAACAAGCCTGATCTCGTCTGATTTCGGAAGCTAAGAAGGGTCGGGCCTGGATGGGAGACTACCTCGCAAGACCAGGTGCTGCAGGTGTAAAAAATAAAAAAATAAGGGATTGTAAGCTGACAAGGTGGTTGCCTCGCCTAAAATAAATAAATAAATAAAAATAAACTTTCTGCACTGAGGAGCCATTTATAATTATGGCCAGCAGATGGTACTGTGTGACAAGGCTCTGCAAGGTGAAGCCCTCTGCGTTTAAGTGAAGCCTGCAGATCTTCCCCAACTGGCTTCCCTTTCGGTAAGATAAGAGTAGTAGTTTCCTGTCATTGTGCAGAGGAAGACATCATGACAGATGCTCATAAGGCATCAGCAAAAAGTCCTCTCCTCCCTGGATTTCTGCAAACCGGATTTCTGCCACCTCTTTGCTGTGCGACCCTGAACAAGTTGCCTGTAGTCTCTGTGCAAGAGGCTGGGCAGGACGGGTGCCAAGGTTACTCTCGCAAGGCATTGCCCCTGTGAAGAACTAGCCGGAAACCTGCTGCTAACCCTGCAGCCTTGTCCAGCCTCAACAGTCAGCTTTCGAAATGGGTGTGAGACTCAAGCACCTCCTAGGGGGAGGGCACCCAGTTGGGCTGGACAGAGGAGTCATGACAAAAGGCAGTTAGTGGAACCATGCAAAGGACTCACCTGGAAAGATAAACTGCTGTCTATGATGAATGAAGTAGGCAGCTTTAAACAGAAAAGGAGGTGAGTCACACACAGAACAGCAAATGCAGCCAGGGTGGGAAGGGATACAGGCATAGGCTTGGGAGGGAGGGGCTGGTTATCAGGCTGGGGCAAGCCTGCTCCTCCTGCTTTGCCCTGCCCTGCCCCAGGTGGGCCTGGCCAGGACAGAATAATCCATGAAGGAAGGGGAAAAGAGCTGGGAGAAAATGGGTGTTGGCAGGAGACCCCAGGAGTGAAGGGGCTTGCACGGAAGGACTGAGGTTCAGAGACCCAGTCTCCACAGCCGCCTTGCTACAGAACCCTGGCCAATTCTGTTCACCTCCCAGGCCTGCTTCTCTGTGAAATACGCATGAGCCCAGGAGAGTGAAATACAGTGGAGAGAAAAATGGTACTGTGTGCGGGAGAATGGTCTCCCCCACAGCCCCACATTTGCATCTGGAGGTGCTGGGGCTTCAGTGACTAGACCTCACCATCCAGAAAAAAAAAATCTCTCAAAGATGATTGAAGGGGACATGCTGTGGATTCGAACTCTGACACAGCATGCTTCTAACCCCAGTTCTGTCACTTACAAGGCCCTGAGACCTTGGGAAGCTGGTTAACCTCTATAGTTGTCATACTGTAAAATGAGGGTATAAATAACCTTTCCCCTTATCCTTGCAGATAAGCTGCAATGCTCTCACACAGTACAGAGAGGGTGGATGGTAGGAGATTCTTCCGAGATTAACTGCCAGGCCAGCCAGCCCTGGGAGCTGCCTTGACCAGAGAGATAACAGATTCAGGAGAGAGTGAGGGCTCTGTGCAAGGGACATAAGGGCCCGTCCAGGGACATCAGGGAAAGCTGAGAAACCGGCTGACATCACAAAAGGTCTTGTTTTCTGTGGCTGTTGTTTTTCAAACAGGTCCTTCCTTTTAGAAAAACCCAAACTAGGAGGCTTAGCAAAAAGCCCAGTTTCAGAGCATATTAATGACAGCAGAATGGGAGAGGAGGTTAATTAAATAGGCCATTGCTCAATCGCAGGGAGGGGCGGGGTAAGATCAGGACAATGCATTAAGGTCAGGAGATATCTAGCCGCATGCATATTAAGGTGAAGGGACAATAAAAGAGCAAAAAGATTCCTACAAAATTTCATTCTCACACTATCCTCCAAAGAAGTCCCTGGAACCCTGGTGAGCTGGGCCCAGCCTCCTGTTGGCTGTGTGGGGCCCCAGCTGGGGGTTCCTTGGCACAAGAAAAGCTGTATCTCTGGCCTCCTGTGCCTGGAGCCCCAAGGGCCAGTGACAGGTGGGGCCTGACTTGGACTCCATGGGCTAAAGGTGGCAGCAGGCCCGTGGCCGGGCTGGGAGCAAACTGGAGCACCTCAGCTGCCCCTCTTGCCTCCAGGATGCCGCCTAAAATATACTGAAGGCTGACACCTACTGCTAGGAGCTGCCAGGGAGGCCAATGCTCAGTCCTCAAATGGGCAAGTGGGCTTCACTCTGCTCCCTGGGAAGGCGGGACACTCCAGGCCCGGCTGAGAGGCAGGGACCCTGGCCCTACAGACCCCAGGGCAGCTGTGGAGTGAGAGGTCAGGTCTGCTCCGGCACGTACAACACCTGGGAGACTCAGTGTCCTTGTCTGCACATTGGGGTAACTGAATTCCAGCTTCACTCTTTTGTTTCATGGAAAAGGGAATAAATGCTCCCATTTAAGTAGCTTGTCCGGATCGCAGAGCAGGTAAGCAACAGAGCCCTGGATCTCCTCTCCCAGGCCCTCCGCCTGCTCCAGCTCCCTGTGCTGCCTGCCATGCCTCCTGAGGGCTCAGAAGCCCCACGTGAGTGAGCAGTGTCCAGAAGAAGCCAGCCACGTGCAGGAGGGCAGCGTGGGGATTATGTCAAGAACATTGTCTTCATGTTAGACAGACTTGGCTTTGATCTTGGCTCTCCTGGTTAAAGGTTACAGCTTGGGGCAAGCCACTTCCTCTCCCTGAACCTCAGTGTCCCCATCTGTAAAATGGGTACAATAACAGCATCTACCTCAGAGATGTCCAAGTTTAAATATGGTAATGTAATTGAGCTCGGCACAGTATCTGGCTCCCAGCAAGCGCTCTTAGTGGTGGCAGTGTTTGACCTTGAGCCTGCTGGGATGTGCTGAAAAGGGGAATTCAACTCTATCCCTAAAATTTCAAAATTTTAAAATTTCGAAGATGTGGTACCTGGGAAGTTGAACCTGCTGTCCCGCTGGCCAGGTGAGGGGTTGGGGGGTGTTGTGGCACTGGATGGGTTGGATGATGTTGGGAAGGGGGCAGGCGAGGAGGGTGTGGAGGATGTGGTAGAGGATGGGTTGCTGCTGGAGTCCAGGTGATTCATGGCTGGAGGGTGTTCCTGCAGGAACAGAGGCAAGGGAAGTGGTCAGGGACTGTCATTGCCCTGCCCAGCCTGCCTCCCACACTCCATGCTGGGACCCTCCCTTCCCCATGTGAAAATGAGGATGTCGGACCAGGGCATTTTACTGGTCTAATATTTGAAGGAAGGATGGTAGAGAGAGACTCTCATCTCAGTGCACATTTCCCAGGGGACTCCTGCTCATTTTTCTTATTTCAGCTCAGACATACTTTCCTCTGAGAAGACTTTCCTGAGCCCTGGCTGGGACCATGCTCCTCCTCCTTATCCTCCCATAGCTTTTCATCAGGGCACTTAAACTATGGTTTGTCAGCTGCATCTTGGAGGGGTTTTCTGAAGGACGTCTCTCCTCTCATTGTACGTCCTGTGAGGGCATCATACACCCACGGCCTGGCTCTAAGCCAGCACGTGACAGGGTTTTTTAATGAATTAAATTCAGCCTCTGAAGAGTATTTGTTTCGCATGTGGTACACAGCAGGTGCCCAATAAGTGCTCCTGCCACTCTTCTGCAGACCTGCTGGCTAGGACTACTCAGTGATTTGGGCTCTCGCAAGGACAAAGGACCACCTGAGACAGGGCTTCGGGGGACCGATTCTATGTTGGGTGGAACCCTGGACCTGACCCAGATATCAGCAGGTGGGGAAGATACTCCTTGTCAGAAAAGTTGAGGCCAAGTTGGGTTACATGCTAAGTTGAACAGGTTTCCCTTCTGCAGGCTCTGGGATACAGGGTAGATTCTGAAACCTGCCAAAGCTAATGCAATGGTCCTTACGGTCCAGGGTCAGCCAACACCAGGGGGTGCCAAGGGGGAGGGAGCTGGATCCACTCAGCCCTCACTATCCCCAGTTGGATTCTAAGGCCCCAGAACCTCTATCCTTGTCTGGGCCAGCAGCCAGGACAGGTGGAGGGCTACGAGGCAGGTTGCATCCCAGCTCCTCCACTCAGCACCCGTGTGAGCCTGGCAAATCACCTCACCTTTCAGAATCACGCAGTGTAGTCTATAAAATGGAGATGTCAGCTGTTGCCTCAAAGGATTGTTCATTTGCTCAATATTCAGTACAAACATTTCCTCACTGCCACCAATGTAGGTGTCAGGGACCTGGCGAGAGCAGGACAACGTGGCCCTGCTCTCCAGAGCACCCATACCGGGAGACCGAGAGCAAATAGGTGACTGCATCATGCAAGGTCGGGTCATGAGGAATGCTGGGAGGAAGTGGTGCAGCTAGGGGCCCTGTGCCTTAGGCCACGTCCAGGCAGGGACTGAGGATTCGAGGGGCGCAAATGCTGAGAAGAGTGTTTCAGGCGGAAGGAACATAAGAGAAACCAGGTCTGGAGCAGCTGGCCTCCTTTATTTGACAATAAGAGGTGGCCCTGGCCTCTCCCAGAGTAGTCCCCCAAGCTGCATCTGCAGAGTCCCAGTGTTAACTGACCATACCACTCGCCTCTCTTCTCTCCACCTGGACCTCCATCCAGGTTGGCTGAAGCCACTGAGGGCCAGCCACAGCCACGGAGTAGCTGGTCACATGGCCCCTCAGTAGGGAGGCAATTCCATGCTAAGCTCTGATCTGGGGCTGAGACATAATACACTTGAAACACACAGCTACCCCCACAGAGGCCTGGGGGAGGCCATCCTGGTCACCAGGATGTGGTGGCTGTCAGAAACTATCAGCGTGGGCACCTTGCAGATACCACTCACACCTGTGCATGGGGACCATGACAGGTATGTAGACTTTCCTGGAGAAGGTAGTCTTTTGAGAATCTGTCTAGCTACAGAGGATGCCTGTCTGCATTAGCAGAGAAGCCTGACCCAAAGCTATGTAAAGAAATGCACTTTTACATATTACTTTTGAAGGCACATTTGCTGTACTGTAACTCAGGCCCAGGCTCAGAGGCTACACCTGCCTCTCACTTACAGAGGACTCAGTACTGTCTCCTCGTCTATAAAACAGAGGTAGTTATCAGTATGTGCCTTTTAGAACTGTTGTGAGGGTCAAAGGAAATACCAGTGGGAAGAGTTCCTGGCTCACAGTCAGTGACATATTAGTTCAAAATGGCGGGGTGGGGGGGTGGGGGGAGGGCAGTTATAGGCAAGTAGCTATGATTTGGACATAACTGTGAAGTCTGCAAAATGACTAAAGATAGGACCCTTTGGGGAGACTGTGTTGTCAGGCTAGACTCCCACATTAGGTGCTTTACAGAGGGGAGTCCCAGGGCAGAGAGTTCTCCTGGCAGAAGCAACGAGTCCCCCAGACCATCGTCCAACGTACCTTCTTTGTCAGTGCTTTGGGGAGGGTTCCAAAATGGGGTTCAGCTGCTCTGTCCACTGGGTTGTTGATGTCTGAAGGGACAGATTCTGTTCTCCGAAGCCTAGATACTATTTAAAAAGAGGGGAGGAAACCATTAGCAGGGAACAGATCAAACTAAAGAAAGATTTACCCCAAATTCAGAAGGTAGACAAGAGAACGGGCAGAACACTTACTTGGAAGGAAGGATATTCTACAGGCGGGGGCTTCTTTTGTACACTTGTTATGACACTTCAACCTGGTAAAGAAGGCAGGGTCAGTGCACAGAGGCCCACACGGGGCTCCTGGGGCTTGTACGGGGGCTTAGAAGCAATGCCTGGCAGCCCTGTGCAACACTCTCCCTCGACTGCCTCAATTTCCACACGTTTCTCAACAAACATTAGCTCATAAATGTAGAATTAATGTTAAAAGCACTAGCAGCTACTACCCGTTGAGCATCACCACATTCCCACTGTGGTCTGCCCAATCCTGAGTAAAGCAGGTTTGACTAAGCCCATGTTAACTTGTCACATTTGGGTCCTTGCCCCAAGTCACACAGCAATGCGGGGGCAATGTGGGAGGGAGCAAAGACTCCGGGTCCACCCTCTGTAAGATGAGACGGCCGGGGACAGACTCTGCTCACACCATGCTGCTTCCTATCTTTGTCTTTCTCTCCTACCAGAAACCACAATGATATGAAAAAAGAAAGATGGATTTGTGTAGAACCTACATTCTTTCCTTCTATAAGTACCATGAGCCATCTCTCTGTTTTCACCTTTTCCTGTCCTGTTTTCCATCCCTTGTGTGCTAAAATGTAAGGCTAACTTCAGAACTCCTTACAGTTTCCGGAATAGTTTCCCCATTCCTCTCTGCTTTTGTTAACATGCTTCACTTTCCTCCTTGGTCCACCTGGCAAACTTCGATTCATCCTTCAAAGCCCAACTCAAATATTCCCTCCTTCTGGGAGTGCCTTGCTTATTACTTCCTTAGTCTCCCTAGAGAGGGCTGATCACTCCTTGGTGTGCTGAATGCGATTACAAATAGTAGGTTTAGGGGAACCTTTTGAACTCTGACTTGACCTAAGGCCGAGAATCAAATAGTAGGACTGTTACTAAACTAAAAGTATGGAGTTTGCTTCCCTTTCCCACCCATCCCACCGTCTGCTCATCACCTGCAATGTTTGCACTTCACTCCAAACATCATGCTTTTCTGGCACACGTGGCAGACCTGTGACAGCCAGGACTTGGTGGAGAACCTGCAAGGGGTGGACACACAAACATTTCCACGTGGGCTGGGAGACCAGGACCTGGATGGAGGAGGGTCACTACACAGCCCCAGAGAGTCCAAGAGGCTTGGTTCCAACTCAGAGCCCCAGGCGCCCTCTCCCTGGGTGGGCAGGGAACACCCAGGGGCCACTGACCCCTTTTATCCCCACCACATTCCGATTTCTCCAGCCACAAAATCATCATTGTCAAAATTCCAAAGTTGGTGTGGTCACTGATGCCAGCCCTCGAGCAGGCAATTTGGCAATAGCAACCAAAATTATAAGGGTGCAGACCCTCTGATCCAGCAATTCCCATCTTAGGAATCTATCCAACAGATACTCCCACGGGTGTCAACTGATATACGGACAAGGTTATATGCACCCGCAGCACGTTGGTAGAAGTGAAAGGCTGGAAAGGACCCACGATGTTTAGGTGTATCAGGGACAAACTACAGAAAGCATGGTCCATCCATGCAACAGAGCGCCAGGCAGCCGGGAAATATAATAAGGACGCTCTTTTTGTGCAAATATGGAATGATGTCCAAATTACGCTGTCAGTGAAAAAGGTACAATACTGTATGATTCCATTTATATGAAGTTCAAGTACAAGAAACTAAACTATGATGATAGAAGTGAAGCGTAATCTCTGAGTGGTAGCACTAGTGGCTGGGAAGGGCCAAAAATAGCTCTCCGGGGGCTGGAAGACTCTGAATCTTCACCTGGGTGGTGTACATGGGTGTAGACATACATAAAAATTCATTTGTGCCCTTAGCTCTGTATAAATTATGCAGACTTAAAAAAGAAAACAAAGTCTAGAACAGTATACAGTACTTGTGTGAAAATAAAAAAGGAGGTGGAAGAATCTACAGATGTATTTGCTTGTATAAAAATAGCTCTATAAAGACACACAAGGAACTGCCAAGATCTGCCTACAGGGGGGCCTGGGGGACTGGGAACAAGAGCAGGAAAGGACTTTTCTGTATATATACCCTTTTGTGCCTCTTGAAGGCATAAATGTATTTCAATCCACACTGGATCAAAATTTAAAAATTAAAAATAAAACACAAAAGAGAGATCGGAGGGAAGGATGGGGGCTGAGTGGGCAGTATCCTCCAGACAAAAAGGCCAAAGCTAGTCCATAGGATGATAAGGCCTAAGGGCAGAAAGAACTCACATTTTTGTAGGAACAGATTTTTAAAAGGATAGTATATCACAGTAACAGCGGAATGAATAGCAACAGTATTTGAGAAGCAGTTTGTAACTCATCCATAGCATTACCTCACTGGATTCTTGCAACCATCCCTGGGAGAGAGGTAGGTCCAGGATTCTTAGTAGGCAAGGAAACCAGCTCAGAGAGGTTAGGTGACTTTCCTGAGCTCACACAGCTATACAGCAGGGACCCCGATCCCAGGTCTCTAAACTTAGAGCTGCATGGCTTCGCTGTATCAGAGATCACTGGGGCAGATTTATGGCTCTGGGGTCAGACGGCTGCAGGTTTGAATCCTATTGACTACTAGCTGTGGGCTGCCTCAGAGCCTCTGCAAATGGGGCCAACACTCCCACCTCACAGCGACTTGAGGAGGCTCACACGTGTACTGTGTGAATATGTAGTGTCTGGAATGGGGAGGCGTGTAAATGTTACTGTTTCTACCCGGCCAAGATGGGACAAAGGCACCCACCTCCCTGGAGTGAGTGCCTTTTAAGGAGCCCTGATCCTGCCTCCCTGGGACCCACACTCTCTCTGGGTTTTAATCTTCTCTTGTCAACACCAGGCGGGAGGGGAGCAGCTCAGTGGTATCTGAGACTACCTCCACTAGGAAATCCTGCAAGTAGGTCGAGGTGGCTGTCAGGTCTGGGCACTGGAAGGGGCAGGTACTGGGAAGGTGTTTGGGGGGTGGGTTAAGAGCCTTCGGGACAGTTTCCCCCACCATGATCAGACCAAAAACCTTTAGACCTTCTTTTTGAGAGGGGCCTGGATCATGGGTTTAAAAACCACAAGGGTATGACTATGACATCACCTACCCAAGCCCAGAACCTGGGCGGGGTGAGACGGGGTAAGGGTGGGAGGTGGGCCAGCCTGGCAATGCCAGACGAGAGGGGGGACTGCTGTCCTGCTCAGAGGGCAGCCTCTGGAATGAGCTGCTACAGGTGGGAGGAAACAGCAGTATGTGAAAGACTTGGGAGTGAGCTGTTGCAGCCTCAGACCCACTGTGAAACCTGGTGCAGCCAAGACAAAAACAAAATGGAGCCACCTGCTGATCCTGATAGTACTGGCCTCTCTCAGGCTACAGCCGGAGGTTAAACACCAAGTGCTCTCCACCGTTGGACACGTGTGGCTCAGCGACATATCTTCCCGTTTTATCTTCATGACAGGAATGGGAGGAAATCCTATTCGCTGAGGGGGAAACTGAGGTTTGGGGAGGTTACTGTCCACAGGCTTGCAGCTTGTGGGAGAGGAGAGGGGTTCCCAACTTGAAAGGTCCTGCTCTCAGCAGCCCCCTCAGCCCTGGGAAGACCACACCGGTACCTTGGGTATGGCCGAGGCACTCAGACCTCCATTCACAGGACTCTCCTGCCCAGGGGCTCTGGTACAGGCACCCCAGTCCTGACAAGGCCCCAAAAAGAGATGCCTGGGCACTAGCCAGCAGGCTGGAGCACTGTCTTACTGGCAGTATGACCTCAGGCAAATTATCCCACCCCTTGGGACTCTCTCTCTGGGTGAGAATTCCAGGCTGGCCTCCCACACAGGCTGGAGTGCAGCTTACACTCCAGGGGGAATGACAGGCCCTAGCAAGATGCAAAGTTCTCGACGAGTGTGACCTGTTGTGTTCACAACAGCACAGGCCCCCAAGGCACTGTCTGGCTAGTTGCCCGGGTGACTAGACACCACACAGACCTGTTTGCAGCACCCACAAGCTGCATGAGCACTGAGGCCAAGCCCTCTGGATGATCCATGTGATGAGCCTACATCAGCCCACGCCAACATGCATGAGCGCCAGTAACTGCAAGTTGTTAGAAACCCAGATCCCCAACCTCAGAGATGGGGTCCAGGAGTCTGGAGTTTCAACAAGTTCCACGGTTCTGATATGTGCCCAGCTGTAGGCCCCACATGTTATCATGCTGGATGCAGAAGCTCTCAGCTCCTTCTCCCTCAGACTGTGACCCTGCTTCTCCTGGGACCTGTGTTTCCTCAGCAGACTGTGGAAGAGACCCAAGGAGATATAAAGGAGGGCCCAGCAAGTCCACATGGCCGCGGGTGACAAGCAAGGGCTCCAAGTGGGTGCAGGGCTGTGTCTACAGAGGTGATGGAGACTACCCAGAAGCAGAGCCTTGAGGACAGACCCCACTACAATGAAGAGCGATCGCTCAGTGAGGGCTCTGGAATGTGTGAGTCCCAGCCCAGCTGTGTCCCCTCCCCATCCTCACCCGGCTGGGCCTACCTGTGTGTCACTGAGAGCCCGATGTCTCTCCGTACCATCTGTGGGGATCCATGCGGGAGATCTGTGGGGAAAGAGACTAAGTCAGCAGGCTGAGGAAGGTCTGTGGGGACAGTTTATGCCTGTGACTTTCTATTTCAGAGATCACGGGCTTGATGGGCACAGAGACTTATTGAATGGCAGAAAAATATTTCTGAATCTGCATCTATCAAAACAGGGACGGGACAGGCTAGGCCAAGGGGGCAGCATGGTTCCCCCTCACACCTGGTCTGCTTCTCTAGTGCTCTAGTGCATGTTACTGCCTGGCTTCTGCAGTCGGTTCAGAAACTATCCCTGTGCAGTTTCTGGTTTCAGTGGAAGGCAGACTTGAGAGACAGAAGGCAATGCAAAGGTGAAGGTAGAGGCTTCCACACACCCCCACCTCTTGCACACTCTTATGGATGCACACCCAGGTTACCAGTTTTCAAGGGCTTAATTCTGGTCACTTCTTGTTATGTGGGTGGAAGCTGTCTGACCCTTGGCAGAGGGTTTGAGGCTGATTAACCATGTAGCACATTCAGCACCTTTCCAGTCAAAAGCATCTTGAAAATTTTGCTTAGAGAGACCACTGCAGATCTTGGCAGGTAGAGTGAGGACAAGGTGAAGCTTTACCATGCTCGCACATGGCCCAGCCCCACCTGGCACTCAGTCTGAGCCTTGAGGAAGTCTCAGGCCATGAGCTTTGAGATATCCCTTCTGCCTGCCTTTCTAGAGGGCACCCTGGGCTCTCTCTCTTCTAATCCTTGGCTTCCCCAAAAGAACAAGCATCCCCAGTATTTATGACATAACAAGTCGGCGGTGGAGGAGCAGCTTAAAGCAATCCCTCCATCCAGTGGCAGCCCACACGTCCAACTCCCTCCCTCCCTGCCTCCAAATGTGCAGCCCTTCTTCCCCAGCCCCCTTCCGCCATGCTCAGCATGGCCTGTCTCCTCCCAGAGCACTGATTCCCAACTGAGCTCAGGGGGTCTGGGAACTCTGGACTGGTAAGCAGAATGTTGTGGGCTTTTCCCTGAAGAGAGGGTCTAGACTTTTATCCAGTTATCAGAGATCCGTGATGCAAAGAGGTCAGGAACATAGCACTTGAGGGATCTGTGGCAGTCTGTGTCCTCCGAGTCAGCAGCCTCCCTCCCCAACAAAAGGCCACTGCACCCTCCCTGGGACCTGACTGCTGGCCTGGCACACAGCTGGTGCTCGTTACGTGGTAGTTCACTTAAGGCCAAGTACCACATACCCAACCACACGTTGGAGGTGCTGATTCCTCCGCCCACACCAAGGGGAGTTTGGTCAGCACCAAAAGGCCCTTGGCTGCCCTGATGATGACTGGGAACCCAAAATCCTACCACCTGCAGCTCTCTCTGGCACCTGGGCCATGGGGCTGACTTGTCCCAACTCCCTCCCGGGGCCCACCCCACCCTAGTCAGCAGCCAAGGTAGTCAAAGCACATGGGCCTAAAAGGAGTTAGGCTGCCAGCCTAAGAGAAACAGATTGTGGGAAAATGAGATTTCAACCATCTGTCTCTGAACGCTACCTGCGATTATTTGTTATATCTGCCACAGGCATGGGATAGGAAGAAAGTGAGACAGCACCTGTGCCAGGCATCAACGGTCTCTGCTCAGATGAAATACTGGCCCTGACGGCCTCACCCTGTCTTCTTGGAAAGCTGAGGGAGCAGCCTCACTAGTATGGTCCCTGCATTACCACAGCAACCAGGAGGATGAGAGGTGCTGAATTCCGTTCTGCTCCGAGGCTCTGTGAGGGCCCTGGAATTTCCGCCTGTGCCCAGGGGAAAGCGAAGTGCAATCTCCTTCTTTCTGCGCCCTGTGCCTCCTTGGTGGTCCTCCAGTCAGCTCCATTTCAGCATAGCCACTGTCTGATATGATACCCTCTCCTCATCTCTAAGACCCTGCTGACAGCCCCATCACTTTGCTTAGCCAGCTCAGGATAGGATGAAAATAAACTGCTGTTTTGCTCAGGCAAAAACCAGATGTCTCTGCATTTCCACTGGGATAATTAAAAGCAGGTTCCACAGGCAAACTGTTTCCTTCTGCTTTGACTCAAGAGAGAGAAGCCCCACAGCACAGCCATGTGCACATGCCAGCTCCCAACCTGGAGGTGGAGGGGTAGGAAAGGGGATGAGAGCTGCCTAGGCTTCTTCCTCCTCTCCCAAGGCGGCAGCCGCACCCTCCAACCTCTGAGGGCCTCATTCAGAGCTGAGCCGCATTCCTGACTCCAGAGAGAGAGAGAGGTCCTGAGACGTTGGCTGGAGCCTGCAATAACTCATGTCCAAATCCACCAGACAGGTGGTGCCTCCCTCTCCAGAGCTTGGCGTTCCCATGGCAGCCCAGCAGGTAAATACTCCCTGCCAGAGGTCGCCTGTGAGGAGGGCAAGGTGCAAAGAGGGACTGCCACCATGAGGGACTGCCCACGGACTGGGACATTCTCAAGGTCTCTACTTGGAAGAAAGAAGCTGCTGGCTGGGCTGAGGCCACCTCGTCATCTGAAGGCCACCTGCCCAAGGGCTATTTCCTGGGGGGTTCCCAGCACCTCTGCTTCTGGTATGGAAAGGCTAAGTGGACTAAGAGAGGGTCAAAGAAATCCACCCCCGATGGGGACAGCAATACACACACGGATCCCAGGTGGCAGAGGGGATGAAAATGAATCACTCTTACCAAACCTGCAGAAGACAAAAAAGAGAGAAAGCAGGATTATGTCACCATGCTGGCTTGGTAAGTTCCCCAAAACATCGCCCCTTGGGAGGGAGCGGGCAAGTTGCTCAGACAAGGACTTTGAGCCCCTGGGGTACGGGACCAGGCTGGCTGAATGTCTGTGGAGACATTTCCTCAATGGGAAGGGCTAGAAGTGCCCTCCCTGCCTACCCTGCAGTGGGCGCTGAAGCTGTACCTGTGCATTTTAATACATTAGCTTATCTGAGCATCACTGGCCACGCAGCATGGTAATTATGGTACACTCCATTTCACAGATGATGAAACAGAGGCTCGGAATCTCTGAAGGTCACATGCCCGTTAGTCAAGGAGCCCTGCCCAGAGCCCTGGGATGAGGGTTGCTCCGGGTCCAGGCATAAGAAGGGGTCAACCTGCCAGAGAGGAAGTGGTGGAGGTAGGAGGGCAGGGAGAACAGCTGTGGGAGCAAAAAGGTGGCCCCCAAGCAAGGCCAGGAGGGGACATGCCCTGGCAATGCCACCCTGGGGTTGGTGCTGCCACAGGGGAGAGCTGGGGGGCCCAGGCCTCTCGGTGTGCCCTCGGGGCTCACCAAGGGCAGCCAGGCAGCCTGAACTTCCATGTCATGCTGGCTCTGGTGGCTCTGTGGGGACCCGACTCAGAATCCCAGGGTCCAAGGCCCAGTTCACCAGCTATGGGATCTGAGGCAGTGGTGTCATGTGCCTGAAGCGGTTCTCTGCCTAGAGCCAGGATGAGATCAGGGTCCTCTAACGCTCTTTTCAGGAGAAAATGAGAAACAGGTGCAAAGTATTTTGCCCACCGAGATGTCCTCTGATTCCACATGGTGTCCACATGGTGGTTTTCACTATGCTCTCTGAGACAAGAGGATGCACAAGGGGAGGAAGGAAGGGTGGAGGGTCCAGGCCACAGCAGGACAGCCTCAGTGGGAGTGGCAGGGTACCTCACAGTGTGGATTTCTCTCCTTGGGTGACATATTCAAAAGCATCATGTACTGACAAAATTCTCAGAGATAGCAAGGTAAGTTGAAAACATAGGTTATGGAACGGAAACATAGGTTATGGTTTTCAATAATCATTAGAAGTTTTAGCCAGATACTCTAGTCCTTCCTTCCTGGGTACATGGAAGAATTAGATTTCCTGGCTCCTTTGTTTGGGTAGGACCATGGATGGCGAATGAAACTTTCAGGAAAGAACATTTAATTGCTAGTGTGTAACATCTAAAATTCTTTTTCTTCTGCCATGGTGGAATGTTACAGAAGGTGGCTGTTCCATCTGTCTGGGACCTGGAATGAGGCTGATTGATCTACGATGGACAGGTAGCATGAGCAAGAAATAAATCTTTGGTGTTTTAAGAGATCTGATGATTATTTGTCACTGCAGCATAACCCAGTCTATGCTGACTGATACATGGCATCAGTGTGTGTGTGTGTGTGCATGCACGCATGCGCACACACACACACACACACACACACATACACGGAAATCTAGTAGGATTCAGCCCAAACTGTTAAGGCAGTCTGGGGAGTGGACTAAGAGACAGGAGTACTTTTCACTTTTTATTGTGTATACGTCTATATCAGTTGATTTTATGTCTTTTTTAAATGGAGGCTACACAACCTTTAGAACGAGAAAACTATAGCCAAAACTTTCTGTGGACAGCAAATCCAGCACCTGAACGGCAGAAACACTTACCTCAGTGGGGAGACTTCGTCGATGCGGTTCCCCAGCTGAGACTCGTGGGACTTGCTCCGGGTGAGCGTGGGGAAGCTGGGCAGCAGCTGAAAGACCTTGCGGCTGGGCGGGGGCGGTGTCCTTGGCGGCTTTAGCTTGGTGTGGCGTCGCAGCTGGGGCGTGGTCGGGGGGGTGATGAAGCTATGCAGGGCACGGGGGGTCAGCCGGCCGCTGGCATGCAGGGGGATACAGGTGTCCGTGAAGCCCTCATTGGGGCCAGGGGTTGAGGAGTCCGAGGTGGGCAGGGCTGACACGGAGACGGAGCGCGGGCCCTGGGCACTGCTGCCCAGTCTGCCTAGCTGGGAGCTCCCGGCGGGCCAGGGCAGGCCGGCTGGTGAGAGGGTGTCCATGGAAGGCCCTGAGCCACTTTCCCGCCGGGCATCCAAAAAACTCCAGCCCAAGTCCTCTTTGTGCTCTCCTCCTGTGGGCCGAGAAGTCAGATCACAAAAGGCTGGGGCTAGAGGAATCTACAAGGGAGGCGGCCAGGGCCCAGAGGGGTTAAACATCTTGTCCAAGGTTGTAAGTGCCTTAGTGGAAGGCATCAGCTACCAGTCTCTACCTGGTTCATGAAGGCCTCTCAAGCACACACATTATCTTCTACCTTATCTAGCTGACCGTGAGGCCACCGGTGTGGCTATTACTGTTCCCGTTTTATAAAGGAAAAAAATGAGGTCAAGAGAGGGAGTGGCTTGTGCAGGGCTCTTGCTGGCAGGTCTGTGGGGAGCAAGCTGGCAAAGCTACCCCAAAAGTGGGTGACTTTAGAGAGGTAACTGGTAACTGATCTTTAAGAGTTGGGAAAGAGAAGTTGGGGGTGTATAAAGGGATGACTCTGTTTTGAGAAAATTTAAATGTCAAGAAAAGGGGTTACACAAACCTTCTAATAGGAAATTGCCCTTGGAATTTGCTAGAAAAGAGATCCAGCAGCCACTTCCTTCTGAGAGGAGCCTGTGAGTGACTTTGGCTGCCCCCACAGTGACCCCTAAGACCTTGAGGCTCTGTGGGGTTCTAACTCAATGGCACAGTCTGTCCATTCATTCAAGTATATGCTGGGTATCAAGGCATAAAAAAGACACATCCACTGAGCCTGAAGAGTCTAATGAGGGTGAAAGACACTCAACACAGCGGATTCTATGCTGACACAAAAATGCATGGGGACTGAGGGAGCACAGAGGAGGAGGACCCAAAATAGCCTGGGGGTCATGGGGCTGAGCCAGCTAGGGGAGAGGTATACTGGACATGTGGAAAAGTAGGGAGCACACGGTACCTTCTGTAACTACAAAGAGTTCTGTGTGCCTTGAGAGGTCAGGAAAAGCCAGGGAAACACAGAGATGAAGATGGAGGGTCAGCTCACCTGAGGCCAGCTCGGCAGGGAATTTGGATATCTATCTGTCTAAAGACTTTAGGTTTGACCTTATAGGAGATGGGGAGACACTGAAGAAGGGCAGGGAGAATAGACCCCATCTAGAGACCCTGTTACGAAGAAGAAGACACCTCCCTCCTCATATTTATCAATGAGTGGGAAACTACAGGAAGGTACAGGGAAATAAATTTCCACCCTGGAGCCCTTCCACTTTGTGCTTTGTATCCTGTCTCCTTCCATCCTCCCAGCATGTGAGGTCGCTGAGATTCAGGAAGGCCAGCCACGTACACGGCTGAGGTCACATAGCTAAGGAAGTGGTGGGATGGGAACTGAGCCTGCAGTCCTGACCATAGCACTGGCCTCTTCCCACGAGGCTATCAGTTCTGAATAAGCTATAGTGGCACAGCCTTGGGAGGTAATGAGCTCTCTGTCATAAGAGGTGGTCAAGCCTAGCCCACACAGCCATTTATCAGGGATGGTAGAGAGAGATTAGCCTTCACAGTTCTTAGGGTTTCTTTGTACATTCCATCCCCTCCTCAAATGCCCTTCCTCCTACTTCACTGCATGGTGACTTTCTATTCATGAATCAACTTGGCAGAATGAATTAGTCTGTGTGTTCCTTGTGCTTGCTCCTTTCAAACTGCAGCCATAACTCACGTAGCCATGACTGGCTTATAGGAGGCACTGGCACGTTTCTTGTTCAGGGGATGAAAGAACAAGTTCCAGGAATCCATGGGCAAGTTTGCCACCAAAGGAAACAAACCCCAAATTCTTCTAATTGCCTATTTAATGACCACTGCTTTGAACCAGCTCAGGGATCACAAATGGGTCTTGCCAACACCAGTCAATTGGCAGTGGCTCTTGAGAATGATCCTTCAGTAGGAAGAGCTTGGGATTGATAAGTGATGTCTGCTAGGGATGAAGGACAGGAAATATCAGCACGCATATTTCCCTTGTTCATCAGCCACTCTCACAGAGAACCATCCTCCACTCACTTTTCTTAAGACCAGAGATGGCAAGGGGAATGCCTTCAACATCGAAAAAACCACCTAATATGCACCAGGCTCTGTTCTAAGCACTTGACCTTAACTCATTTCATCCTCACAACGACCCTATGAGAGAGGTGTTGTTATTATCTCCATTTCACTGATGAGGAAACTAAGGCACAGTGGGGTTAAATAACTGACCCAGGTCCCATGGGCTCTAAGTGGCCGAGCAGAGTGCTGGGCCCAGGCAGTCTGATTCCATAGTCCATTTTTATTACAACTAGGTGCTCTAAACAAGCCCTGCTGGGTGCAGTGAAGATTCTGCCAGCACGAGCTGAAAGACAGGGTGATCACTGGTACCCAGCCAGTCTCAGCAGGTGCCCTTGAAGTGTGTCCACCACTGGGCAGACCCATTTGGATGAGGTGTGGCACGGACCCTCTTGGGGACGTAGGGACGTCACAAGCTGAGACTGAATGAGAGAGGACCTGGAAAAGACCCCTTCCCCAGGGACCTCCTCTGAGGCATAGTGGAAAAGCACCCGCTGGGGAAGAAACCTGAGTTCCAAGCCCAGCTATGCCACAACTCACTCAATGCCTCTGATGCTCTAGCTACTAAAGGAGCTTACCACCACCTCTTTAAAGGGTGTTGCCGCATGTGTGTCAAGTGCCTGGCTTAATAAGTTAGTGATCTCCCTATCCTGGCATCCAGGATGGGCAGACAACAGTCTTCCCAACACAAATAGGTTACCACTCAACAGCTGTCACCTCCACAATTCTTTACAATTCAGGCATACAGAGGGAGGGTTGACAAGTTACCCCAAGATCTCAGCTTGGGTGGCAAGTACTTTTAAACTTCCACAACATGGGAATAACTCAACTACCATCAAAGAATGAGGCTCAAATCTCATCTCTGCCACTAACTGCTGTGTGTCCTTGGCTAAGTCCCTTCCCCAATCTGGGCCGTCTCCTCTGTAAAGTATGAGGAAGAGAATGCTGACCACGTCCCATGTTTTTTCCATGGCACCTGCTGGCAGGTATGGTGTGTTGGATTTCTGAACTGAGTGAAGCCCTCTATATGGCCTCTGGGTTCAGAGAAGGACTTTGTACAATGGGACCAAGGAAGAAATTAAGCCCAATCCTCTCGGGGGGCAGTGGGGAATCAAGCAGTGCTTTCCTTAAGCCTCATGCAACCAGAGATAAGACAGGTGGCTCAGACAATTAAAAATTGGGGCTAATTCCTCTCCTTAGGTTCATTTCAAAGCCTTATCTGTGTGGTCGGTTGGAGGAGCATTAAGTCAGGGCATTTGAAGCTGTTTCCAAGGCAAGATTTAGAAAGCCTGCAAATAATTCCCTAGGGACGCATCGTAAGGCCAGGATTACACCCCTTTGCCTACAGCGGCCATGGACACACAGCTGAAACACTGTACAATGTCTTGAATCCCACTTGGCTGAAGCTGAGCCCAAATCAGTATATGCCTTGTGAGCACACAGCCCAGCCAGCCGATGGGGACAGGAGAAGGTGGGGAGAGGGCTGGGGGTGAGCTGGGGTGGGAAGGAGGGATGGAATGCAGAAATCTGCTGCAGGGTTCAGAGAGCCCAACAGATAGGCTCCAAAGAGGGGCAATTACACAGGGCCCACCTACCCAGCAGACAAGCTTGGGGCTTCTAACAATAACCAAAGCTTCCCTGTGTCTATACTGGCCAGGCCGGTCTTGTGACTAGGGAGCCCTCTGACTAGGGAGACCCTCCATCTCAGGTAGGGCCCATCATGCACTTTCTGAATGTCTGCCCTGGCCTGTCCAAGCTGCCCCAGAAACTCTGAGCCACCCTTGTCCCATTCCAACATCCACCTCAGCAAAGGCTGTGCCCCCCAAAACCAGGCCAGGCCAGGCCTGGGGAGAGAAGGCCAGAGTCAAGGACGAGGTGGAGGGAGAGGGAGCCCATGGGGCTGGCCTCGGTTCTGGGGAGGCGGGCCCTACCTACCCAGGCCTGTCACCTTCCGCAGGCAGGTGAGAGCATACTGCAAGCGGCCGCACTCCTCCGCACTGGCCCCACAGCGCCGCAGCGTCTCCTTCACCTTGGCCTCGTTCATGTCCAGCAGGGCGTCCAGCGTGAGCTCTTGGAGGATCTCCTGAGAAAGCAGAGGGGACAGCAGAGATCCCGTAAGCACTCAGGCTGCCCCAGCACCCTCCTCATTCTCCCCCTGGCCAGGGCGGGCCCCCCGGCTGAGTGGCAGGGGCCAGCTGCTGCTGGGCTGGCCTCCGACCTGAGCCACCACTTGTCTGAGGACTCAGGAGGACGGCTCTTGCCCCCACCCCCAGCGCTCCTGGAGACAGCAGCTGAAGTAGAGATGCCAAAGCTTTAGGGTTAGGGGTGGAAGGAAGGAAGAAAAAAATCATAACAGTTTTGATCAGAGCATGTTGCCCTTTTTGTTTCTTTTTATTCCTCTGCCCCCCCCAAATAATGAATCATAACAATTTTTTAGAATGACAAGTACTTGAAATAAAGACAGCCCTTTACAATTTTGATGTACTATATCTGAATCAGACAAGATAGATTTCAACTAAAACTGGCTTAGCGAGAGGAGGATTAGAGAGAATTAATCCTCACCAAGAACTGTATAGACAATTACCTCGCCTAATTTAGTTTTCAGTCAAAACCTTTCAGAGGTTCAAGGTAGCAGAGAGGAAGTTAGAGACTCAAGCATGAAAAGGACTCCACGTGGACTTGGAAGATAAAGGGGCCACACTAGAAGGAATGTGGGTGGCCTGAGAGAGAGAGAGAGAGAGTGGCCCCCTGGCAGAGCAGCAAGGAAAAGGGTGACCTATGGCCACCAGGAACTGGATTCTGCCAATAACCTGAATGCACTGGCTTCTCCTTGAAGCTTCCAGGTAAGAGGCCAGCCTGGTTGACACCCCAGCTTCAGGCTGGTGAGATCCTAAGCAGGGAAGCTAGCTGAGCCCACCTGGGCTCCTTCATCTAATCTTCCTCCTACAGAACTCTAAGTTAATAGATGAGGGGAGCTTTAAGCTGCTAAATTTGTGGTCAGTTGTTACGCAGCAACAAAAAACTAATACAAAGAGTGAATATTTGAATCAAGGCCTGACTGACTTCAAAGCTTGTGGTCTTTTCTCTCATCAAGGAGTGAAGAAACCTCTCTGGCTCTGACAACTTTGAGCCATATGTGATACCAAGCCTGGAGCAGATGCGCAGGACAATGGGACATGTCCTTGGCCTCAAGGGGCTTGCAGGGTGACAGACACAAAAACAAGTCATTGCACTGCAAAATAAGATATGGCCCAGCACAGAGAAAACTCAGAGAGATACAGAACCAGCGGTAAGATCTGTTTTTCCCCCTTTTTTGGCCCCTTTCTATATTTTTCAGATTTTCTGTAACAGGGAAGACCAGACATCCTACATCAAATGATTCATATAAAGCTCACGGTTCTTGAGAATCTAGGTTGATTTTCAATGATTTTAGCAAGCTGTGTCTAATTTTATTTTGAAAGAATAATGTTATTGTCAGTCAATCCACATTGCCATAAATCTTAGATTCAAGTGTCAAAACTGAACCTGATGAAGATACTGGCTATGATTTATTGGGGGCAATGGTTTGGGGGGCTTTGTAATGTCTGGAGGTGGCACCGGGCCCCAGCTGAGACCTAGAGTCTGGCCATGTCCCTCCCTCCCCACCTTTGTGTCTCGTCTGTATATTTTTCGATCTGCAGGGTTGTGGATGATAATCTTATAGCTGTTTAGAATGATTCACAGACACAACTAGAAATAAACACACAAGTAAAGCACCAAGAAGCTCATCATTGGTTTGGCAAACCCATGGTTGTCAGAAATCCTTCCAGACGATAAAACTAGAGCGTCACAGGAAACCAATGATAAGAACAGCACCGAGAAGGAACTGATTAGATAAAGATCCCAGGGCAGAAGCTTTTTGTTCATCAGTGCGTCTTCCTTGATTGCCCTCAGTAATACCCTTCATCGGAAAATGCAGTCGTGATATCTTTTCCCCTCATTTTACTATGAAAAGCGAGTTGGCAATATTGTCTGGCCACCAACAAATGGAAGTGAAGTTGACCTTTACGCAACTTCACAAAACAACTTCACCTCTCCCTGGAGTGGTCTCAGTTCCCACCGACACTCCTACATTGTCCCAAGATTGTGATGACTCAGCAGGTTTCCAAGAAGCCTGGAAATCCAATCCCCAAATCTAACTATAATGCAGTAGCGATTGCCCTTCTTTATCTTTTTCTCCTCCCCACCCGCACCAGTTTCAGTTTCTTAAACATCATAACTACATTCATTATTACAAACTCCTTGCCAGTACAATATGGCCAGTGCTTTATATACTATCTTCACTCAAAACAATTCATCAAGAGAAGGCCATTTTACTGAGGCTCACAGACCTACGAGGCAATCTGGCAGAGCTAGAGCTGAAACCCATGTGTGCCGTTCCCGTGGCTCCTTCAATGAGTCCTGCTGTCACTTGGTAGCCTAGCAAAGCCTGGAGGTGCAGCAGCTACCTTTTTTTTTGAATACACAACTTTTATCGCGTCTTTAAAATATCACGAATAAGTCCAAGGAATCATCTGACATCTTGGCGTTTCTGCAGCTGGACAGGTTAGACCTCATTCATCAGCCTGCCTGAACTGTTCTTTTTTCAGAAACGTAGATACCATCCAAAAATTTTCTGATAGCCTTTGTTTTTAACCATTGTGGCTTGCTGAATCAAAGCAGCTGAATTTGATACAAGTTCAATATTGTTTTCTTCAAGAATTAAGTCATCTTTCTGGGCTCGAGCTACTCAAATGATTTTTTTCAAATATATTAAAGGAATTAATTTCTACCCGCTTTCTGAAAAAACAAAACTATACTGTAAAATGGAAATTGGCAAGTCAAGTAACCCCCTAAAAAACAGAAAAGACAGAATATGTTCAAATCCATTCCATTAAAAAAAATGAATGAAAAAAAGAAAAAGAAAAAAAAAAAAGGCAGTCTCTTATAGCTTCAAATTACCTGCAAAGTTTCTCTCATTCCCTTGAGGCTTCAGAGATCATCAGTGTGCCCCACGGAATAAGGCAGTTTAAGGCGTTGCCTTCCCTTCCCTCCTTTACCCTCTTTATGTTCCAATTCAAACCAGGGGTTGACAGAACAAAATTGGGGGGAGGGGGGCAAGCGGGGATCCTGGGACAGAAGAGCCGATTCAGGGTCCCATTTATATTGGAGCTGCCCCAGCCTCCCCCCAGGGCACACATGGCTTCCTGGGGTGTGATCTCCGCATCATCAATGAAATGAGAGTGCTCAGCCATGATTTCTTACTATTCTTTCTATTCTCTAATCCCTCTTCCTTACAGGGTTGGATCACTGAACTGGGGAGAGGGACCATCTAATTCTACCTAAAAATTCGATCAGTGAGGCTATCCACCAGTCAGCAAGTTACTTGGTAGAGTGAGGGTCTCAAACACAGCCTCGAGGCCAGGCCTTGGGAAGAAATGAGGTCAGCGGGGACAGAGCCCCCTTGATCTATCTTTTGATGGAGATACAAGTACTAGAAACACTTCTCTTGCCTCTGCTAAATAAGAAATCTCATAGCAGCGAGGGCGAAGCTAATGAGAAACCCAGCCTCTGGCCTCACTCAGTGTTGGGGAATAAGGGGAGGCTATGGGAGCGGTGCCAGATCTTCTGGTTTTAAAGAAATCTGATTTTAAAATGACTGATTTTTACATGGTGGCAACTAATGCAAATCTGTGCAGACCAAACAATTGTGTCTATGGTTACACAGGCCCCCAGACCCTCTCGTGGGGACCCCATGTGGAGAATCTGACACCTTTCAGGGATCTGTCTGATCAGTGACTTCTAAAGGGTTATTTCTATAGGTAAATGGGGAGGGATGGTAGCCAAGCAGCAAGTACCCTGGGCGACATATCACTGGGCAGCCAGGCCTTCTCCGTGAGGCGCCCGCCATGGCTCTGGGACCCACCGTGAGAACAAAGTGCCCCAGTCTTCCAATTCCTATGAGTGACTTTGGACCCAAAGTTAACTTAATCAAGAGGAGAGAGTGCATGAGGCAAGCATGCTGGAACCAGGGGGACCAGCATACGATGAAAACCCGCATCCCCCAGCTCTTACCTAGGCTGGGCTAGTGGCTGCGTAGGCCCCTGGAGTGGCCCTGCTATCACCTCCTATCACAATTTAAGCAATGCCCCCCCAAACAACTTGGCTCCCCCAAACCTTACACAGAGATATGACTCGTCCACCCACGGTGACAGGCCCAACCTAGTCTGAGTTAGGAAGTTATTTCAGACCTCAATAGTGCACGCACAAATTTTCTGGATAATTTCAACCAAGAGCAAATTAGGGAATTGTTTAACCACCTGCTGAAGGTGAACTCACAGGCCTGCTGACAACCTGGCAGGTGGAGCCGCTCTGAAACCCTCTCATGTCTGAGAAACCCCAAGGCCCCAGAAAGGCCTTCCACCTTCCTGCAGGCACATGGAAGATGCCAAGTTGTCCCAAAGCCAAGGGCCCATACACTGGAGTTCTGGGGAAGGGATGAAGACAGAGAGCCCATACACTTTGAGGATGGAATCATTGCCCCCCAACCCCCTCCAGCTCCTGTCTAAAGAAGAAAATATGAACTAGAAACCAAGAAGGCAGGACACATTGTGGGAGTTCCCTGGGCTCCTACGAGCCTCGAGTGAACACGGGAGCAGAAGCAGGGCAGTGAGAACGTGGGACAGAGCGGGAGCTCCAGAGAACACTGGCTCCCACTTTTCCCATCCCCTCAAGACACGATGGATGTTCTCTAGTGGGGGACATTAAATTACTCTTTCTGAGAATAATTAGACAGAGTCAGTTGGGCACTGAGGTCACTCTCAGCCTGTGATAATTAAACTGCTGGTTCTGTTCTCTGTAGAAGAAGGAGGGAGTGGGCTGCCCCCTCCCCTCAGCAGCTGGCCGGTGTCGTAGGCCAGGCTGGGTATCAAATGGTATCTTGGGACTTACCAGCAGCCACGGGGCTGCCTGGGGTCTATACTTAGAAACCTGTGCCGGCTTACACCGAGAGCCATCCACGCCTGCCGTGGTCAGTCAGGTGGACAGTGGAAATGCCAGGGGCTT